ATAGAGCCATAAGGAAAGGAAATAGATTTTGTTTTTTAATTAAAATTAACAGATTTTTATAGAGAATAAAAGGGAAAGGGGGGAGGAAAGGGGGAAATGTGGGCTTTGTACTTTTTAGAAGATTTTTCCCCCCCTCAGGGAATTATTTGACAATAAAACCCATTCTAGAAGCAATTGCTTTCATTGATTACTTTTATTCTCTCTTCATTCTCTTTTCTTTTTCCCCCTCCTTTCCTCCTTTGAACAGACACTCAGAAGCAGTGACCAGTCTACACCGATCATTTAGGTACTGCCCAGCAGCTATAACAAAAAAGGCACTGGCCACTGGCTCTCGTAGATTAGATTTGAGTATTTCTAGAGTATGTTAAGTACATATTATCATGCCACTGACAGAAGACAAAGCCTGATTCTAACAACCGTGTTTCTGGATTCTTGCTCAGCTCACAGGCTACTCTGCTCCTGCAGGCTCTTGGGGCTCCCCTCCCACCCACAAACATGAATCCCTAGTTGAGTCAGAAGGGGCCACCAAAACCAACTCATCCACACAAGCATGTCACACCTTCACATATCCCCCCACACACCCCTGTCTGTCTGTCTGCCTCACCCCCGCGTGTGTGTGTGTGTGTGTGTGTGTGTGTGTGTGTGTGTATGTGCGTGTGTGTGTGTTATGTCTCCACTAAAACAGAAGACAGACATTTGCATTGTAATAGCATTTAAAACCCAGTGCTGATAGGCTGTAGTCACACTGTGCTACATGACAGAAAGTGGGCCACCCGTCTGTCTCTTTCCTTCTTCACCCATACTCCCAGCAGCATCCTCCGTCTGTGGATAGTCTCCAGACAGTGGAGGCAGTATCTCCAGATAAAGCACATTCCGTGGTCTATAAACCCTGGTCCTCATGCAGCACCTGCGCCTGCCCCTCAGTGAGGCATGCCAACAGCCCCATGCAACAGTCTCTCCCTCCCGTCCCTCTCTTGTCCTCTCCTGTCCTCTCTGTTCTTAAAACCTCCTGCCCCCACCACCGCCGCCGCCGCCACCCGGCAAATTATTCCCAGGGCTTTGATCCTACCTTTCCAAAGTCCCCACTGGAACCAAGCCCTCAAAGACTTCCCAGGGACCAGCAAAGTAGACCAATAACCCAACCTAGAACTCCACAGATCTAAAACCACAGCAAGACCAGGGATGTGGCTCAGGAAACTAGCGAGGAGTGAGGTGGTGTGACTTACACACTGAAAACAGCTGGACCTGGCGAACGTGGAGGCATTCAACCCATTCTCCTCCGGGATAGAGAAGCTGGATACCCTCCCCTCAACCCTTCTCTGCATTCTCCTCTCAACCTGATTTTACCAGGATAGCCATGAGCAGGGGGCACTAGCCTGCCTATGTGTTCTTGTTTGCCAGCCTTCCGACCCTACTCCCTGTCCGAGGATGGATTCCTTCAGTCGGCTCCCTTGTTCTCGGACTGCCAGGTGGATTCTGGTGGATTCTGCCCATTAGGGGTCCCTGACAGCTGGGGGAGGACAGAGGTTGTGGCTGGGGAAGATGCCCCTGATTCTTCCTCCATGGGCTATCCTTCATCATCTGATTGTCTCCATCCAGCTTCCAATCATGGATCCCTCCCATCTTCTGCATCCCAGGAGCTGTAATTGAATCCAGTTGTTCTGCGCTGTGCTATATGGATCCCTTCCATACAGCCACACCTTTGTAAACAGTCCATTTAATATGCTTCCCTTCAATTAGTCTGATGTGAATGGTTCATCAAACTCCTTTGGATATCCTGATAAGCCCTGAAGTGGTTTGGTCTGCCCTGTCTCCGCTTCCTTTCTAGGATGGCTTTGGGCTCCATCCTCCTTCCCCAGGCTGTGCAAGATTCTTCAACACATCTGAACGAACAGGAGTAAGATTGATGGGGGAGTATGGATAAAGAAGGGTAAAGCCACTGAGGGCCCAGCCTAGGTGGTGTGTGTGTGTGTGTGTGTGTGTGTGTGTGTGTGTGTGTGTGTGTGTGTAAGAAGGCTGCTCCAAGCCCTACCTAACAAGTGATCAGTCAGATCAGGTGTGGGCTGAGCCCCAAAAATCTAAGAAAAGAGGAGGTTCGGAGCACATCAAGAGCAGCCTGAGCAGGAACAAAGCTCAGAGTCAGGTGAGAAAGGTTAGCGGCTTGTCATGTGAGCACCAATGCAAGTAGGTGGGCTGACGGTGAGGGGGTCCAGGGTGACGGGGATGGGGTGAAGGGTGCAAGGCATGAATCAAGGAGCAAAGCCATGATCAAATAAACCATCCTCTTGGATAGGAATCTCGATACAGACCTCCAGAATGCCGGTATTTGGTGACATCGGGTTTAGATAACTATTATTAAACTGTGGGCACAGGGTCACTGGGTGATAGACCCAGGATAAACACTGGAAATGTCTCACTTGCAGATGAATGACTCACTCATACGAACCCGTGCCTCCCTGAGGACATGCTAAGGCTCTTTTTCATTTTGGAAAACAGATATTAAGAGGTTGACATCTTGACTTCAAGTACATGTTAAGCTGGCCTCTGATGGGGGCAGGGGACACATAAGTTACAGTCGTTCTGTAAGATTATAATGGGACTGAAAAATTCCCATAGCCCAGTGACACAGTGGCTGTCGTGACCTCTTAAGGGGTAGGGGTACGGCTCAATGGTAGAGTTCTTGCCTACAGCGTTCAAAGCCCTGGGTTCTGGCCCTAGAACTGCATGCAGAAGTTATGAACCATGTTGTAGGAATCTGAGACACTGCTCGGCAGTTATGAGTACTTGCTGCTCTTGTGGAAGATGCAGGATCAGTTTCTAGAACTCACATCAGGTGGAGCACAATACTGGTGAACTGCTCCAGGAACTGACATCCTCTTCACACTCTTTGGGTACCCACATTCGCATGGTCCACATAGGACAAGCAGGCCACACACATACACATAAGATAAAAGTAACTAAATCTTTTTTAAAAAATGTTTGCCGTCAGGCGGCTGTGGCGCACGCCTTTAATCCCAGCACTCAGGAGGCAGAGCCAGGTGGATTTCTGTGAGTTCGAGGCCAGCCTGGTCTACAGAGCAAGATCCAGGACAGGCAACCAAAACTGCACAGAGAAACCTTGTCTCAGAGCGGGAGGGGGGGGGCAGTTTGCCAGCCTGGACAGGTGTTGTGTCTAGCATGTGTCTTGATTGTATGGAGAGCCTACTGTGGGTGTAAGAATGTCCTACAATGTTTGCACACATGTATGTGCGCACACACACAATTGGGGCTGGAGAGATGGCTCATTAGTTAAGAGCACTGCCTGATCTTCCCTAGTCTGGATCCCAGCACCCACATGATGGGGAACTACCATCTATAACATCAGTTCCAGGAGATCTGATGCCCTCAACTGGCCTCCATGGGCACTGCATGCACATGATGGGCAGACATACAAATAAGACACCCGTGCACATAAAGTAAAACAATTTTTATTTGATAAATAAACCTTTTTGAAAAAAATTGTTGAGCTACAGTTTCCAGAAAGTGTCCCCTCACTGTCAGCACACGGATGTATGGGGGCGCACACTGGGAAGATCTGGGAAGACATAGGGAAGTTGAGGCAAGAGCTTAGCTGAGTACCTTCTCCAGTTTATCCTGATATTCCCTTCAGGGCAGAGAAAAGTGAAACCAGCTGGTCTGGTGCCCACAGCGTGGAGGGAAACCTTGTGTTCTGTTACTAAATTATATGCAGATTTTTGGATAGCACTTCCATTAGGTCAAGGTTTATTTTTGTATAGAAACAGCATTTTAATTATCATTAAAGGGAAAAGCGTGTATTCCTTTGAGCACGATTTTATAGTACAATCACAGGTTTGCTAGGTGTTTATGAAAGTGAGTACAAAGAAAACGATTTAAATAAGCCAACACAGAAAAAGCAGGCTTATACTGACTCATACACGCAAGACATTTAAGGATTATAAAAAAAATCTAACTCTTGGTGCTCAGTGACCTTTCCCAGTTTGTGGTGGACTCTGGTGTGGCCTGTGGCCTTGGTCCTGCTGCGATGCTTCAAAGCCGTATTGAGAATGTCTGGGTCCCCAGGAAACTCTACTATACCCAGGTTTACCAGGAAATTTGGGTAGGAATGGGGTTAATGATCCTCACCGTTTATAAAGTCAGGAGTGCTGATAAAAGAAGGAAGGCTTGGAAAGGCTGCAGCCCTGGACCATGGCCATCACTAACCATTCCCTGCATCCGCTCAAGATGAATCAAGCAAGCCGTGTTAGATGGGAACATGGAGCATCACTGTACACTTTCCTAAGTACCATTTACAATGTGGCATTGTAAATATGTAAATAAATGTATCTAAGTAGCACACACACACACACACACAAAAAAAAGCTGTCAGGGCTGGAGAGGTGGCTCAGCAATTAAGAACACTTCCTGCTCTTGCAGAGGACCCTGGTTTAGTCCCGGGCACCCTCATGGTGGTTCACAACCATCTGTAACTCCAGTTCCAGGGAATCTGATGCCCTCTCCTGGCCTCCTCTTATGTACCAGGCATAAAAGTGGTACACACATACATACCTGCGGGCAAAACGCTAATAAATAAATATTTAAAAAATAACAATTTTTTTTTATTTTTAAATGCTCTCCCCTCCTCACACCATGGATGATAAGGGCAGCCCACCAAGGTTTATGTATATATATACCATAGTTTTGTACCATCCCCTGACTGCCTAAAGCTACGGGCACCCAGGGGTTATCAATGTGCCATTAGCAAAGGCCACATATACCAGATACTCAGAGCCACGGAGCTTCAGGACTGGAACCCTCCTAGAAAGGGAAAGTCCCCCTCTCCCATTCCTCTTATCCAGTTCCTGAAGACAGAATTTCTGGGGTCATCGTTCTGGCGGGGGGAACCTGGCATTAAAGTTTAGGCACTGCGCATACTCAGAACTGGAACGACCCCGGAACTACTGTGGCCTCTTCCGAGACTTTGACTCCCGGGGAGGGGCACCTCTAACTCTGCTGGGCCCCGCCTCCTGTGAAGGCTTCTTTACATCAGCCCTTCCTTAGGGCAGCTAAGGGTAAGGGTCAGGCTCCCACGGTCTCGTAGGTGGCTATGAGGGTGAGCAGCAATCAGGAAGTACAAGGTCCATCTGGGGAGTTACTCCCTTGCTCTGGGGCACCCCGCAACACCCACAAGGAAGTGAAGCGGCTTTGAGGGTGAGTGTCACACCCACAGTCCACACTCTGTCACCTCTGCCCTTCCTCCCTCCCAGTACAGCTGCTTCCTGCACTTGTATTTCTTTTTATTATTATTATTATTATTATTATTATTATTATTATTCCAACATAATATTCTTATGGATTATTTGGGGATTTCACACAAAGCACCCCATCACAGTTGCTTCCCATTCCTCCCAGATCCATCCTCCCACCCTTGTGCCCACCCCCAAAAAAGAAAAAAAAGAATACACCAAGTCCAATTTGTGTTCCCCATATACTCACTGGAACATGGTCAAATGTTCCAGCGGCCAGCCCGCTAAAGATAACTGAGTCCTTCCCCACCCCACCCCCACCAGAAGTCATCAACTGCAGAGAGCTATACTTTAGCATCTTTATCACAGTCTTTAAGGACTCTCTTCAATAGCTTCCTCTCTGGACTGTGGTGCTGTCCTAGAAGACATCAACATTTCTCATTCTCAACTATGAGCCTGCAGCCATCCATACCACTGCAAACGTAGCTTCCTTGCCCATAATAGCCACAGGCAGCATGGATCACGAACTTCCACATCATTTCCGGAGGCAGCACAGACCATGGACACCAACACGGCCTCAGGTGGCAGCACAGACCACAGGCACCAACACAGCCTGCTTCAACAGTATGGACCAACAGACACACAACCAGCACAACAACCCTTGAATGTAGTACAGACCACAGACACCACCATGGCCTCCGGCGTCACCGACGGTGGAGGTCTTTCCAAGAGGCTCAATACAGAAAACAGAACCATTCTCTATCTTGGACATCCTGCCATTGTTCAGAGCCAGGGCAATCAATGGCGTGGCTGAGCATCGAGTGTGGTGGGGGCAGAGCTTGTGAGAGCTCCGGGCTGCTGTGCGCCACCCTGCCAGCCCTACTCAGCAACAACATGCTCTCCCAGCTATCCCCAGCCACGCCCCCTCTTTCCCACCTCTCCACCACGCACATTCATTCATGAAGCGGGGTTGCAAACCGCAGTGTGTCACACGGTGGTATATTTTTTGCCCCAACCAGCTTAACATGCAAATACGAATTGCAACAAGTCATTGGTCTGATTCAAGGTTTCTGATTTCTGAAGCCCCATAAATTATCGATGAGACTGGTCTCAGCTGTCCTGTGGCTCCCCAGAGTCAGGGTGATCTTACCGTTGGGCAGTGCGTGCAGGGGCAGGGTACCCTCGCTGCCCTCACACTGGGTATGACCATCACGCTTGCAGCATCTCCCCACCCAATCAGCACCCCCCTCCCTCCCCCTGCAGGGCAAGTAACACAGGCTGCAGTAGCCGAGGCTCTATGTTGCAAGTCAGGCCCCTGGCCCTCCCCTCACATCCGGCTGAGGACCAGGTCAACTCAGCAACAACATGTTCCTTTGTCTGGCCCCATATCACTCCTATACCCTCTGCCTCTCCTTTGCTTCCAGTTTCAGGAGACCACTTTTTAAAAGCATACTCCATTAAGACCTGCTGTTGTTGTTGTTGTTGTTGTTGTTGTTGTTGTGAAAGAGATACTGTGGACTCTGCAGACTCCTCCTCAGCTGCCAGGCCTCCCCTTGGAGCTTCCCTGGGTCATCTCTTAGGCCCTTGGAGATGCTCCTCAGGTGCCATCTTGAATTGAATTCGCCACTTTTATTTCTAAGCTGATTCTTTAGTTTCTTTTTGTTTTGTTTGTTTGTTTGTTTTTGTTTTTTTTGATATGGTGTCTTTTGTAGCGCAGGCTGACCTCCAGTGTTGTACGTAGCTGAGGATGACCTTGAGCTCCTAGCTCTGTCTCTCAAGCGCTGGGATACCAAGCATGAACTGCCACACCAGCTTGCTTTCTCTCCACTTCAGTTCTGGAGTTTCGGGAGTTTCTCCTGTTGTCGGCTGTCTGTGACACATCTGGATCCAGGAGTGGCCTTCCCTCCTGGGCAGAGACCTACATTAGACCTATCCATTTAAATACGATTGCCTTAGGCCAAGTCACACATTCCTAATCAGTTCAATCACAGTCAGTTATCAGGATCACATGACAGAAAGCCTGGCCATTTGTGTGCAGAAGAGGTCTCTGCTGCATGGGCTGCAAGAGGTCCAGTCTGCATGTGTCCACTGCTGCATCTATCACCATACGATGCAATTACTTCTTCACAGTCTCCTTCCATGCAGGTCTTTGTTGCAAGCAACAGGAGACCGTGGTGTTGCAGAATTCTACCCAGATATCGGAGTATGAATGCACTAACTAATTTACAATACAAGAGACCTTTGTGATAAACCTCAAATGAGATTTAGTCATACACTTCCCATCTCTGGTTGTACCTCTGCCATGAATTTTAACTGCGCAAATATGTACTCCTTCCCATCAGAGGCTAGTTCAAAGACTGGGATCTGGGTCTCTAACCCTGGACACCTGTCTTCCTGTGCTAAAAAGCTCTACATATATTAATAGTGGGAAAGGTCAACAGATTTAGTTATCATTTGTACTTAAAAATCTTCATATGTTAGTATTTTTTTCACAAATTAGAGACAGGTAGGACACATGAAGTATCACACATACATTAAATTCAAATCTCTCTTCAATGATTCTGAGTGCCGAACAGTTTCTCAGAGCAAACGAAAGCGAGGCTCAGTAGGATCCAGTTTTTCAGTGTGTGTCTCCATCTACTGCATTTACAGGAGAGTTACTCAGACGTTCGTTCGCTCTCAGAATGCGTTTTCTGAGCATCTCTCTCCCAGGACAGCCAAGCTCCACACGGGGCACTGGGATACGAGTGCGTGCCCTTGGCCACCACTAGAGGGCAGGCTTGCGTCTCTGGCAGAGCACTTGCCCCCAAGAGCCGGCAAGAATCGAGAAACTGTAAACACACCAGCTGCGACCCGGGTTTGTTTCCAAATGGAAAAGTACACGTGGGCATGTCCAGATTCGCGTTTAGTGTTCCCCTCGTTAGTTACGCGATCCTTCGGCTCACCTTTCCTTTTGTTTCCTGTTTCCTCCTTCCCATTCTCCTTCAGATTGCAACAAATGAGCCTTTTATTCCGCCCCCCCCCGCCCCCCGGCAGAGGCTTAACCCACAAAAACAAACCAAGAGGAGGTAATACAAATAAACATCGCACAATTTAGTTAGTGGAGGTTTAACGGCTGAGGCTTCATTTGGGTTTTTCTTAAAATAATCCTGATTTTTCTCAAGTTTTCATGTATTATGCAGCTGGCCAAGATGAGAAGGGTGACAGCGAATAATTAATAATAAGAAGGAGGAAAAAAACAGGGGTGGGGAGTAGTTGGGGGTCCGTATGGAGGGAGGAGGGGGAACGAACAGATGCTGAAAGATGCTCTCAGAAAAGAAGTTGGTCCTGTTGGCCCATTCCAAGTGGTCCCGGGCATTAGCTCTAGACAGACAGCTGTCCGGTGGTTGGAACCTCAGCAATGTTCCCGAGACAGCTGCTGCCTCATCTGGAATAAAACGATTTGGACTAGATAATCTTCTAATTCAAAAGTGGCACTGTGCTGAATGTGCATGGAGCGAAGTGTGTGAGGCTGGTTGTAGAAACTGTGTGTCCTCCCAGGTAGAGCTCGGCCCCTCCCTTCCCCTTGGCCGGCGGCTGGGGCTTCAAACCCTGGGCTGACCCGGCTGGAAGTCCCGGGAAGGAAGGTGTCTGAGCCTGAGGAAACACAGAACAGTGGGGGTGGTGTAGGAGGGCTGCTTCCGGCTGAAGTTCTGGAGGAGACATTTTCAGCCCTACGTGACAAACTGCTAGAAGTCTAACAAGAACGTACTCTAGCCTGGTTAGGGAAATACACACCCCTGGGGACCAAGCTGCTCTTCTGTCGTGGCTGGTCGAGTTCAGCTGTACAAGTCACTGTGGACCTTACATGACATTTAGGAAACGTCAGCATCTTTTGATCTTGCCCGCACAGTTACAATTACAGTAATCTCCTAGCACCCTAATAATCAACTGGGCTGTGGTTTCAAAGCTAACACTGTTCTCTAACATCATGATAACCGATTAATTACTATGTACCAGGTTCACATTTTCAAGCTAATATTTCTGAGAGCTGTCTCCAGATAATCACTGGAGAAGGAGTTTCCACCTCTTAAAGCTAGCTTTACTTAGCCAGAGTTCTTATATAAGTGAAATGTTGCTAGTTTACACCTAACACATACACATACATGAAAATTTCAACGTAAAATATTTGCGGTAAATTTGCTTCATCTGCAATTTCAAACATGCACCACTAGGGGGTGGTGCTAACTATTAAAATGGTCTTTCTCAGGCTCAATTCCAAAATGTAAAATAAATTCCTAGGCCTTGATCTCAGAATTTTCTGAGTAGAAGATTGTGAAATCTGCCTTTTAAATAAATCTCCTGAGTGACTTTGAGGCAGGCTGTCGGATACCAGTAATTAAACTCGTTTTAGCCGGTGTAACTGCCCTGATCTCTCTCTACAGAAGAAATTACCATCAAAACAGAATCCACATTCCTTGCAGCAGGCCTCAAGTCCCTATGAGAGTAAGATTTAATCAGATCTCTTAGCGCTCATGATGCTTTTCCCCTGCTGTTCCAAAAAAAAAAAAAAAAAAACCCAGGATAGCTTAAAAAAAGCTACAAAGAGAAACCCTAACACCCAAAAAAAAAAAAAAAAACCTCGGGGCTTTGGAGCAAGTCATTTTCCATTCCCCCACCCCCACCCACACACACACTGGCTTCCACGATTCTTTTCCGTGTCTGATCACCTGTCACCTCTCCAGAGAGACTTTTACTCCCACCTGTCATCAGTCCGTCTGTGGTAGCTGGTGGGAAGAAGGCATGTGTTTCTAGGAAAAGACAGATTATTGCAGACTCTTTTGTAGTCACCAAGTTCTGTGTGTTTGTTGAATGAATTAATGAATAGACGTAAGCTAAATCTAAGTGAATGGTGGAAGTCTTTATTAGTTGAATCAGGTGATGGTTTTCTAAATATTTATTTACTTTTATTTTGTGTATATGGTTTTTGCCTGCATGCTTTTATGTACAGCTTGTGCATGCAGCGCCCACAGGGGCCAGAAGAGGGCGCTGGAACTCCTGGGTCTGGAATTGCAGCCGATTGTGAGGCACCATGGGGGTGCTGGGAACGAAATCTGGGTTCTCTGCAAGAGCAGCTAGTGTTGTTAACCACTGAGCAATCTATCCCGTAGTCAAGGTTGTTTTTTTATTTTTTTTTTATTTTTTTTTTTTTTATTTTTTTTTGATTTTCGAGACAGGGTTTCTCTGCGTAGCTTTGCGCCTTTCCTGGAGCTCACTTGGTAGTCCAGGCTGGCCTCGAACTCACAGAGATCCGCCTGGCTCTGCCTCCCGAGTGCTGGGATTAAAGGCGTGCGCCACCACCGCCCGGCAAGGTTGTTTTTTTAACTACGCTTTCCACATACAGGACAGTTTTGTCTGACATCTAGTATGCCAATCACCAAAACGACATGCTTCACCACACTAAAGAGAAAGTTTATTCACAAGCAATGAAGTGCTCCATAGAGGACTCAGTCCCTCTCCCTAGGGATAGCGTTTAAGAAAGCTCTGGGATGAAGAAGTAAGACGGCTCATTCCTCATAGAGAAAAGAGATTGAAGGGAGGTAAAGTAATTAATAATGTGGGCACACAAATGGAACTTTAGCAGTTTAAGCACAATGTGAGGATAGTTTGGGGTCCTCTAACAGCAAAAGCTTACCCCCATCAGACACTTGCACAAACCCTAACAAAGTCTGTGGTTTCAACAAAAGCAACCTTCAAGTCCTGAAAAGTAACCCAAACTGTAATCATGGTTACCCATGTACCAGGGAATCATCTACACCAAAGCCAGTGAGAGACTAATAACATATATATGCTCATCTGTATGGGCTCCGAAATTTAAATAAAAGCCATCTAAATGAAAGCAAGCCAAGCAAGAAGGTTTATTCCGATTTTTCTCTTGGATTCAGTCACACACTACCTAATGGTTTCGATCAATAACAGGCCACACACTCATCAGTAGCCTCATAAGACTATATTGCCGGGGTAACATTGAAGCTGTCTTAGTTTGTATAAGTCTGTTCTACGATGTTTACACAATAGTGA